AATTGCGCACTCAGGAAAATGTCACTCCATAAAACTGTAGATAGCTATAAATAAAGTCCCACCTCTTGCTCTGACTCTGTGCCAGACAACTTCTTGTCCTTTCCTTTGGAGCCAGCTCCCCCATTCTTGCGACCAGACCCTGGTTTTCGACCCCTGGTGGGGGAATACAAAAAAGAACAAAGCGTTATGTGAAAGTACATTTTGAAGAGGTTGAAGTCAGGGTCATGCAACAATACTCTACACTCTTTCTTGACCCATATGGATAAATGACTTGTCTATTTGTTGTTTGGTCTGAAAACAACAACAAAAATACTGGTTCTTGCTTGAGCCCAAGTGGATGTTTGTGTCAAATTTAAGGAGACTCCCTCAAGGTATTCTTGAGATATCAGATTCACAAGAATGAGATGGATGGAAGGTCACAGTGACCTTGACCTTTGACCACCAAAATCTAATCAATTCATCCTTGAGTATAAGTGGACATTTGTGCCAAATATGAAAAAAATTGCATATATGGTGTTCTTGAGATATCCTGTTCAAAAGAATGAAACAGGCGGGATCCCAGTGACCTTGACCTTTGACCACCAAATTCTAATCACTTCATAGCTGAGTTCAAGTGAATGTTTGTGCCCATTTTGAAGAGATTCCCTCATTGCCTTCTTGAGATACAGCGTTCATGAGAATGGGACGGACAGACAACCCAGAAACATAATGCGCACGGCCACGGCAGTCGCTGGTGCTCGGGCACAAAAAGTTGTACATTTGTTTTGAGTTGCATAGCCAGCCACAGTTTAATCTTAACTTATTAAACAGATTTAAAATTACAAAGTCACTCTGCAGCATAAATTTGCAGGAAATTACAATCAGCCATTTTTATTCAAAGATGCTAAGACTATACATGCCGCAATCCCATAGCTGAGACTATGTGTCTAAATATTCGGGGCTTACAACCGCTTTAAATTGAATCACAATCGAATCAGCCACACTCTTTATTGAAAATAACTCTTCTTACTCATTTAATTTATGTGTAATTCTCTGCCAAGCTCTCTGCTTCAATTTAGCTGCGGTGCCAGCGTTTGATTTGACAGTCAATACTGTTGTCTCTTCTCTACCATCCTCAATAATTAGTGTGTCCTCTCTTGTTTTGCTCCTTTTCTTTTTTTAATTTCATCTATTTAATCTATAATCACAAAACAAAATGGAAACAGCCATAATGTGATATCAGAAAGGGTGGATAAATACTGCTTTTGTCTATTTCAATTCACAGTAGCAGCTGTTCCTGGAAAAGACAAAGGTAACCCTTCTTGTATCCATATAAGGTGTGTAGTCCTGTTGAGTAATTAACTTCCTCCACGTCACACTGTGGGTGCATACACTTTTATGAAATGACTGTGTGATGATGATGATGATGATGATGACAAATCAAACGGTAACACAGATTAATGAGTCAAACTCAGCTGCACGATACAGTAATTGTACAAATCATATTATCCTGGACTAGCCATGTATGTGATACAGGACCTTGCAGATCTGAGTCAACTTTTAGGTGTTGGCTGTTTAATTCCTCTGTGTAATGGCGCTAAACAAATATGTTGGTGTGTGCACCTGCGTGAGCGACAGACAAACCTGCGTGGGACTTTTTCTCCTCCCCCCTCAGTGTGGTTCTCCTCCCCTTCGCCCTGCATGTCTGGCACCGTTGCCACCAAGTCCTTCAGGAAATCAAACTGTTGCTCTAGCTCGATACACTGCTTTCTGTGGACACACGTTTTAAATCAGTATGTTGCTTTCTCTAGAGACTTATGTGCATTCTGAGTTGAGAAAAAGTCAACCTAATGTTGACTACACACAGATATGAACGGGCAAAATCTAAATCGCACAGTAACATTCTCCTGGCAGCTGCATCTTGGCCAGAAATACTTTCACATACAAGGGATTTGGCCATGTGTTGCATTTCCATGCAGCATCACTATCAGAGTTACATCACAGGTGTACTCCCACAATATACCACAAAGTGCAATAGGGCGTTAAGCTGTCTTGAAATGGAGACATCTTTTCAGCTGCATGTATCCAAGATCAAATACAACTTTTCATATGATTTCCTGTTATTATCCAGCTGCTAGAATCTGTGGTATGTCAGTCAGAATAAACAAAGCAGACGATGACTAAGAGCTGGGCGATATAATCGGTATTATATCGGTATTATGATGTGAAACTAGACATCGTCTTGGATTTTGGATATCATAATATAAGTGTGGTTGGTTTTAAAGGCTGCATTACAGTAAAGTGATATGTTTTGAAATTACCAGACAGTTCTAGCTGTTACACACTTAATCATTATATCCACATTATTTATAATTATTTGTCAAAAATCTCATTGTGTAAAAATTTTGTGAAAACACCAATAGTGAACCCTACAATACTGATGCAGTATCAGTATTGTTGCAATACTGATGACTCCCAAAAAAGTCCAACCCCAACTCAGTGCAATATAGGTCTCACACACACACACACACACACACAACAACAACAACAGACACTTACAGATGCGATGTTGTCATTGTCTTTGCATTCCTAGACTGGGTAACTTGACAGGCCTTTGTAAGCAATGATTCCAAGAAAAGCTCCAGGGCTCTCGCTGACATCTTAGTTAAGGAAATCACAATGTGGCAGGTCTGTGTCCTATATTTAAATAAATCAGACTCACTTGTGGTCTAGCTTATGCTGTAACTACAAAGAGACAAAAATAATTCATTAAAAAAAAAATCAGTTCTTAAAATTAAATCCATGAACTGTCTGCTTGGGCTGATTGTGACAATCACCACAATACTTACAACAGACTCAACAGAAATGATTTTCCACTGCTCATTTGGTACAATTTAGATAAATTCAATATCATTCTGTGCATTAAAAACACATGTAGATGATTGAAACCTTGGAAAAGTAAAGATATTTGACAGAAAGGATACAAATGATAACAGGTACTGCTGCAGCCACTTTGCCTATTTCTTCGTCTGTCTGCATAATCTTCTTAATCCTCGCCTGTAATGAGAAAAGGTTTAGTATTACGTACGTGTGTACACTGACACTGTGTATAAATACATTGAGATTAAGAAGTTTGACCTTTGGCTCATGATATATCGTTCAAGATAGCAAATCCGTTAACTTTACTGTTACCGAAATACAGTAAAACTCATCTTTTATTACTCGGGAGCATGCATGCTTAAAACCACTAGTTCCCCATCATGTTGATTTGATATTCTACAGTGTGTGCACTGCAAGTATCTCAGAAGTTAGGTAAGTACGCACCAACAAAGACAGATTTGCTCAGATGTAAGTTATAACGTTTAGTTTCACTTAGCTTGGCATGCTAAAAACAACGACAATGAGTGCTAACTTAGCTAAGTTAGTTATCATACGCCGCACGGCGTCAATGTACCTTAACAAACGAGGAAGTTTGCCGACTCAATTAAACCAATGACGCTGGTATAATGGTACTAATGTACTTTACATGTTAGTAGTAAAAGGCTTGCGTTTGTTGGTTAGCTTGTTAGCTCTCTAGTCAACAGAACGGGCCCAGTCAAGCTAGCTAAACAGGTTAGCTTCCCATTATACAGTTTGCTAACGTTGCCCAGTCTGGACACCGGTTGAGAAAAGTTTTAACTTACCGGAGGGAATCTGGCGTTGTATTTCTTCTTTTTGCTGGGCATAGTTAAATTACTTGGGTTGCTAACGTGAAATAAAATTGATTATATTCAGCAGTACTGCTCTATATCATACATAAATCACCTCAACCGCGCACACACTAGGTAGAGATAGCTATCCTGCTAACTCGCTAGCACGTCGTCACTCGCTCTCTCAGTCCCTGGCAGGTCAGCCTGGTTCCGCAGGGTCACAGCGCCGCCAACTTTAGAGCAACTTTGTACAGGAATATAATGAAGAAGTGAGGATACCTTTGATCTCACAATGTGGAACTGTTGCCTTTGATATCTACACAAAACTAACACTAAGTATATTAACGTTAAATGCTGTATGTCAGTTTAACTTACGTAAGGTACTTAAATGAATGTTAAATTGTCATACATTTAGATGGAGCTCTTTGATGCAGAATATGCCTTAAACTTAATTTTTTTTTAAAATATATATATATATATTATTTTTTGTTAACATGATGACATGACAATATAATCTCACAAGCAAAGATGAAAAAAACTGACAAATACAGAACAAAGTGAATTAAATGAAAAACACAAATGAAATGAATAGGATCACTTCAGTAATTCAAATAATTAAGTTGTACTTAATAGTAGTAGTAGTACTTAGTAGTACTATTACATTTACAAAAAATATATAACAAGTAGAGTGCAGGGTTCTTATAGTCCCAATCTACAACACAACACATTTTCAAAGATTTCATGTTCTCCTGCTTTGTTGCAATATTTTTTTTTCCATAAAAAAAATGTCTGGGAAACTTAGATTCAAATTTATTCTTAATTGAGTTTTTAAATATGCCCAATAGAATATTTGATTTTTATTATTAATTTGGAATATCTTTTCATCTAACACCCCCATATGATGTATAAAGGTATAAATTCAAGATAAATGTTGGGTGGGCCAGCCAAATTATAAATTACTTTATTTATCTTTATCTTGGATGGCCTTTTCTGGTGCCCTGTACTTTTTGCACAGATCTGTTGTCTGTACCTACTATTTCAGGTTTCATTTTCCAGTAAATTGAGATAGCTGAAATCTGACCATACATACAGCAGAATGATTGTATGAAAGGAAATCACCCATGTGATCTAATATGGCATATAAGTATACGTTTTTTAAGTATTTCCCATAAAAAGGACCTCACATCTATTAACAGTTCAACCATATCACTTACCAGTGTATTTGTTAAGGCCATCTGTGTATTTGTCAATGTAATCTTTCTTTGTAAATGTGAGAATTTCAGTTTGAGAAGCTTCACATTTTTGTCCACGCCAAGCACCGGTACCGTAATTGCACGAATAGATGCGCATCAAAACCCAAACGGCGGTTAGCGTGGCCGCAGTCGGGGGTTCAGAGCCTGTGCGGAAGAACAACACTGGAGAACAAACTCCAACATCTGCAGGTAGGTTAAACCTGAACGGCCATAAATTGCGATCAATGTGCGTTAATTCCTACTGTCTTAATGCAAAATATGCGTGTTATAACGTTAGGTGTGATCAACAGCTGGCTGTTATTAGCCTTTCTCCAAATTAGTCAAGAAGACGAGCATGGACGTTGGGTAAAATGGCTAGCTACCTAGCTAGCTACAGTTAGACCGGAGCCAAGCAAATATTTTCTTCGTGTTTAGTTACACGAGTTATACGTCAGCTGTAGATGATACACAAGCTAAATGAATAGCAACTTATTTGTGTAAAAGAGTTGGCTTTTAACAAACATTAATTATTGAACAAGTGCTAGTGTAGCAGGCTAGCACGTTAGCATAATTAGTAATGGTAAACATCCGCAAACAATCCAGCTATCCACTCTTGCCTGGATTTAAACTAACAAAGAGGATGCACCTGTGGTTTAAACGTGCATTTAATACATAACGCTCTCCTCTGTTCAACAGGATAAGTTCCAGGACTTGTTCAATTGCCTCACACTGACACCATCATGGAGGAGGAAGGGCCCCCTGCAGATGGCGAGGTGGAGACCTCCTTTGCTGCAGAGACCTATGCAGCTGAAGCCATGGCTGCAGACATGGACCCCTGGATTGTGTTTGACTCTAGAAGAACTCCCAGATCCGAGTTTGATAGCTGGTTGGAGAGCAACGGGCCCTCGCAAGTGAACAGATTTGGTGATGAGGAAGGTGGTGTTAGCCCTGTGGGTTGGATCGCTGTGCTGGGCCTGAACCACTGCCCCAGCAGTGGGGATGTTTTGGGTCTTCAGGAGAGCTGGGAGAAACTTTTGGCCAGCGGGCGGCCTGTCAGCTTCCAGACAGTGAAGGAGCTGGCCCTGAACCACGGTGTGCTCACGGGCAAATGGCTGATGCACTTGGACTCCGGTTTCAAGCTGAATCATGCCTGGGAGTGTGTGGCCAGAGCAGCCCTAGATGGCAAGATCTCTCTAGTTAAAGTCAGTCCCCATAATCCCAACGGAGAGGGCAAGCAGGTAATATGTGCCTATAACCAGAACTTCACTGATGAGAGCGAGGTTATACAGTTGGACTCCATCATCCGTGCCACAGGGGTCAAATGCCCTCTCACCTACAAGCCGGACGTGTACACATACCTGGGAATCTACAGGAACAACCGCTGGAAACTTTGTCCAACCATATACGAGAGCAAATTTGACCTGGAGTGTGTACCCCGGCGTTCCCACATTATCAACAAAATCACCAATCTGGAAGTAACATAAGCCTGTTGGAACAAGAGGACAGTTTTGCAGAACGGGTAAATGAAGAGGCACTTCGTGATCCCATCAGTTGGGTTGTGCGTTACAACTCACTGACCAAGAGGGGTTTAAAGTCAGTGGTTGTATTTTGATCTCAAGTTCTTCCTTTTGGCAAAAAAAAGCACTAAATCTCATTTCAGTCTTTTCCTCTTATGCTTTAATATTTCCTAAGTGACCTGATCTATTGTCACTATTTTTTTAAATGATCATATTGTGTTCATATGTAGGAGTATTTGTATTCTTGATGTTCTGTTTGTAACACACTAACACTCACCTGACGAACAGGGTGGTTGAAGAAATCCTTGATTTGTATGCACAGAGGAAAATTTGCATCCAGTGAAGATTTTCTGTACAATATACATTTGTTTGGCTTTATTTTTTTTCGGTTTGTACTGAACCACGATAACAGAGTTGCCAAATAAAATCTACTTTTGAAGACCGTCTTAATATGTTGTGGTTTTTATTGCCAAGAAAAGTGTTTTGGAATTTGGACAGAATTAATCATTCATTCAAGCATAAAGGCATATAGTATTATCTGCTTACATCATACCTGTATAAAACAGCATAATTCCATCTTAAAGCATCTTTTACAACAGAGTTGAAGCGAGTTAACCTACAGGTCTGAAACATTTGAGTTAAACTGCAGCCATTTTTCATAAAATAACTGAAGATAAAAACTGATGAGACCAGAGGAAATTCAGCAGACACAGAACCAAGATTTGATACAGCTCGTGGGTGTGTGCTTCTTTGCTATAAGCATGTACTTATTAATGTTGCTTGTTTGATAATTATTTATATGTAGACCTTCATTTGGTTTGCAACACATACTACGTTTTGTTGAGACTCAACAAAGGCACCTGTACAAGAGACATTAGATTTACTGCTGACCTTCAGAAATCACAAAGTTCCAAAGTAATGCCAGGGTTCCCACGCATTTTCATGGAAATATTCCTAAACTTTTCCAAGGCTTTTTAAGGACCTATAATAACATTTTCATGTCCATTCACAACCTATAAGGACATGGCTGTATAGTATACTGTATTCCAACTGTTAGTTAATGTATTATAGTGTATATAGTAAGCAAAAGGTTGCATGTCAGAGCTACATTACATCAACTTTAATTAATTTGCCATGTTACAATTCATTAACTGTCACGATTAATTCCATGATTTTTCCAAAACTTTAAATGATTTACGAGTACCCTTCTCCAAACCTCGAAAATGAGATTTAGAAATTTCATGACTTCTTTAGGTTTTCCATGAATGTGGGAACCCTGTAATACATGGGGATATTTAATTACAGGAACAGTGGACATAATGGACATGGATTTGCCTCAAGGTCCAATCAAAATGCCTTTCTGAAACTACCTACTGTATAGTACAGCAGACCAACCTTCCACATTACAGAGTGATAATCTCACTGACCACAGTTCCCGAAATTGTTGAAATGGCAAGTACAAAAACATGCTAACATATTCCACAGAAAACCTCAAGAGAAAAACATTTGGACAGATGCCTTCAGCAATGCATCTGATTTGACTGTCTATAAAAACAAAGTTAATGATTGATGCTAAATATGGGCTTAAGGGCAATGAAATCTGTCAAGCTTCAGTCCTGTCTTATCATACGTCGGTTTAACTGTATTTAAATGACTGGCAACACCTGCTAATTGAATACCATAAAGAGTCTTTGCTGGTATTTCAACAAGCATGTCCACAGTGAGCAGTATTGCTACATTCTGTCCCTTGCAGCCCTCTTATATCCACCTTGTTTCCTTTGTTGTATTTTGTAACAACAAAGAGTTTCAGTTCTGAAGGTTAAGGGGCAGATGCAAGTGGTCTATGTAAATATGTTCGTAAAAAAAATAACGGGGACAAACTTTAAGTGGGGTGTCCTGACACAAACCCAGCTTGGCTTCCACTATTAAAAATGGAAATCAGACGATCCTCGTCAGCAGACATCAACTCATCAAACTCATCCAGCACAGCAGGCCGGTGATTGCCATTGTTGGATGCCATGTCAATCATGCCCTCATTCTGGAGTAAGCTGACGATGCTGTTGGGGTAATTCATCCAGGTGCTTCCTGGCATGCTGGCAGGGTCAGAAGTGTTCTGGGATGCTGCGATGTGGGCAGCAGTGGAAGAGCTGGGAGGGGCAGGCTGCTGGCACGAAGCTTGAGCCGACATCGAGGTGCCGTTTCCACCACTCTCGTTCATAAGCGGGGGGCTCAGAAGGTCCTCAAAGTCGTCCATGTTTAGGCTTTCCAAATTGCATTCCCTAGCTTCGGAAAAGCTAGGGAACTCTGGGATGTCATCGTCCACAAGTGGTGCGTCCACCCGGAACTGAGAGCCCTGGAGGGTGAAGGAGCTGGTGGCCTGTGAGGGGGCCGTGCTTGCCTGAGAAGCTGCCTGCTCCTGGGCGATGCCTGAGGAAATGTTGGGGAAGAATTCGTGAAGGTCTGAAAGATTGACAGTTGAGTAGTCCTGGTTGGCAGTGGAGGTGGTGGTAGAGGAGCAGGAGGATGGTGCTTGGCTCATTGTAAAGTTGGGCACCGGTGTAGCTTTGGGCTGGGAGCCCAGGCTCAGGCTCTCCATGATCCTCCATGTTTGGTTTGTAGTTGCAGAAGAGATGGAGGGGGAGGCCTCCACCTTGGGCTGGACTGAGAAGAGCTGGCCTGGTTGATAAGAGTAGGTAGGCTGGGGTTTTGCTCCACCTGCAGCAGCAAGCGCAGCAGATGCTGGACAACACAAACACAAAGAAAACAAGGAATTCAGTTGGAGTCCCACAACTGAAATTCTGATAGTAACATTATTTTTATGCAGAACATTACCTACACATGGGGCTGAGCAATATGGCTAATAGAGATACTGCTATATTTTTAGACTACATCTTGGTACATGATCTCATCTAAACTACTGTAGACTACCTAACTGCTAAATAAACTACTGTTACAATAAAGTTAACGTATTGTTATAATAAAGTTAGATTAGGTACTGTTATAATAATGTTATAATGAAATAAATCAAAGTGGAACCACTGGAGCGTTTATTTTGCAGCACCAAGTTTGACTCGCCCCAGAAGTGTTGATATTTTTTTGCCGTGACCTTAAAGTTTCCAGTCAACAGTTAACTATAAGCTACTAGCTATTAACAATTAGCGGAAAGTTACACCATTACAGTAGCACTGTTAAACATGAGGATTTATTCACTGTGAGCGGGAAACAAACTAACATCTCCCCTGTTCATCTATTCATAATATTTGCAAGTCACACTGGTGCTCCATGGTCACAAATTGTGACTAACGGTCATGGTCTAGAGCCCCAGTGCAGACACAAAAACACAAGCCTTGCTTGCTCACACACTATCGCCCAGGAGAGAGTGGTCTGGATGGACTGGGGAGTCTTTTCTGCGACAGGGATGGAGCCACAGGAGTGAGCAAAAGAAACCGAAAAGCCAATGCAAGTAGCTTAAAAAATGACGGGATAATTTATACGCATACGCACGAATATTTGCAATCTAGTCATTTTATACATCCTACATGAAACTAGTCCCGATACATTGAGTATAATGGATATATCGCCCACAACTACCTACAAGTTATCAGTTTTAGGTTGTTTTAAGATAATGTCTGACATGTCTCTATATCTTTTAGACAGACTCACCAACTTGTGCATTCATTGATGGAGGCTTGGCTGTCACAGTTCTCCTTGCCGGGCTTATGTGCCGTCTATCTTGTGGAATGGACACTGAAATTCCAACAGACATGATTATATTACACTGCAACTAAAATCACTATTACCTTTTATATAACTATCAAGGAGTAAGGGGGACAGAAAAAAAATTCATGAACATACCACTAGACAGCATGGGCCCCAGTTTGAGGCTCTGGAACATGTCCCCAGTACGCTTCCTCTTGTCACTCAGCCTGTATTCATCTACAGGGGTCATTTTTAATAAGCAGTTAGAAGACAAGCAAATTCATCTCTCAGGTATTTTAAGAAATGTTTTATATTCTCAGGAAAAGCTTATAAGAGTAACTTGTGAAAAAATTAGAAGACTGCCTCTTACCTGGGTCAGCGGGCAGGTACTGGAAGTCCATCGGCTCGCTGACCTCGCGATCAGAGGGCCGGCGGAGCTGCATCTTCACTCTAATGGGCTCGGTGAGGTTAGTGTCGCGGTACGGTGGTGTGCGGAACACGATGGCCACCTGCCTGTGGACATCAGCCTGGGAGAAAGTGCCCTTTCCTTCCCAGGAGTCCTGGAAGAAACGCACCTCGATGTCCTCTACAGGGAAACAGGCATTGGGAAATGTAAAGAGATATCAAACTGAGAATGTAAACTCCACAAGGTTTTACAGCACATATGCCTGCCACGATCCAACTACTGCAAAATAAGTGAGAGAAAAAGCCTTGTTTTAATTGAAAAAATGTGTGATCTTCGATAATGATCGTATAACTTTGCTTTGTTTAACTGAGTGTTAATTAGAAAGAGATAATGCAAAGAAATGAAACAGAGGAAGAAAGGGGTTCACAAGAAGCAGGGAGGCTGAAAGTTTGAAGAGCTGGACTTTATATCAGTATCACAGCACCCACACAGGAAATCCTTTTGATGCGAACCTCATGATACACTGCGAAAACTTTCAAATTTAACAAGCACAGAAACAAAGTGGAAAGCACTTCATTATCGTTATACACGTATGGCGTGTTAGTCATTTATTAGAGAATAGGAGAAATTAGAACGTTGGGCTAGAGGAAGAAAGCTTTTGGTTCATGACTGAAGTCACTCAGTTGTAACGTGACTGCTTTGCATTACACAGCAGATACTGTGACAGGCAATGAAACCTTGCACGTGCAACAATGGTGTTGACCAAGAATATCACCACATACTGGTTGTATTCTCTGTAGGTTCATCACTGCAAGCAACACCTTTCATATTTAACAGCGTCATTTCATCCATAATACAAATAAAAACACTGGTTAGTGGAGCTTTAAGGACATTTTTGAGAGGTAATCACTAACAAATAGGACAACCACTGCATACACAAAAATTCAGCACCACCAAATTACCAATATATGGGGATTATGAAACAGCCTGCGATTAATTGTGACAAGGAGTCATTTATGACTCACATTATGAGTCAAGGTTCTATTTCCAAGCACAAGATAAATACTTCCTGTGAATATTTCTTCCTGAAAGCTGAACCTGTCAACTGACAGAAGCACATACAGTTCAGGCATATGATACCTTTTTGTACTTTGTCACACAGCAGAAATATTTCATCCCCTCCTTTGCAGCTTCCAGAGTTGCGGTTGACTCTGCAGATCTTCAGCTCAGCTGTGTTCGGGGCCCCTTTAAGAGAGAGAAAGCATTTATGAATACATATACAAACTTATTAATACAAGACCGAGGCTACAGATTAACATCACACACCTTTGCAG